TAATTTCTCCAGGGCCACATTATCACCTACAAAGATTAAGGGATTTGCTCAGGCTCTGAATCTAGACCTCTGCAGTTCCACCTGGAGGGCTAAGCCCCCTCTCTTATCACTAAAACAAGCTCACTGGGTTAGGGGTGTGAATTTTCCATTCCCACTTCCCTTGGGCACGGGAAGCAGACTGAGTGGGTGGCTCCATCCAGGTCAGCAGACCTGCACCTGCCTACACTGCATCTGGGCCTCACGCTGGTCCTGCTTGCACTGGCCTCCTGAGAAATCTGTGCCTGCTAGCGTAAGTGCTAATGAAACCCAAAAGCTTTAATGCAAATAATGAAAAGGACTGGCGACATGAATTTTTACAGTAATGATTCACATAATTGGATTCTCTTCTGAGAAAAAAAACATCCATTCGTTAACAGAACAATTTCTAATCATATAAGCATTTTTAAACTTGGCTTTCACATTTTTATTAGTGAAAGCTATATTCTAGTAACACCAGAAGTGGAATCCCTTCAAAAATGTGCAAAAAAATGTTCAATGTCAATCTATGTTGCTGCTTTGTTTTTATACATTTGTAGAAATCAGATATGGAATAGGCCAATTGCATGACACGGTCCATTATCATACACTCATGTTTCGTTGTTCCATATTGTGACCTTCCCTCTGTATTTTCCAGCTCCACAACCAATGGTGCTCTGCACTTTTTCCCATCCTAGCATCTGGAGAAAGGTATTTCATTTCTTAAGGGTTTCTTATTAAGAAAGAATAAGGGGTTTTTTGTTGTTTCATTAATTCTTAGACAGGATTAGTGGCAACAGAAACAAACATTATTTATTTTACAGAACCTGCTCACAGTGATTATGTTTAATGCTTAAAAAGATACCAGGTATATTTGTGAATTCATCCAATAACAGTAGGAAATTATTGACAAAATTTCAAGTAAAAAAATCAACTTTAACTAGTCTTGCTAGGCTTTCTGTAATGCAATAAAATTAATTCACTGGTAAAAGCCAAAGGCAAAATAAACTTCAAGTACACTTGCAATTTTTCACTTTGTATCACAATATTCTTGAGGTCTTAGGCAAATAAAAATTAATGGAAAAGCATTTTATTAAGACTATAAAGTAGTAAGATGACAAAGATGGAAATAAACAACTTGAACTAGGAGGAAGAATATGTAATTATTTCCAAGCTGCTGGGGTCCAGTTACAGTATGTTTGGGGTAATACATTGAAAAGTTGTCAACTCAAATGTATCGTCAGTCCAAAGTCATTAATTACTGTTAGGTCCTGTGTCAGTCAAGAGCCAGTAGCGAACTACTGGCGTTACTCTCGTTTAGATGTTTCTGTCATGTGTGTTTGTTCCTGTTCTGACTGAATCAGAACATTGGGTAAATCGTAACACACATTTCCTCTAACATCTGCCAATAAATCACCAAAGGGAGAGGGGACAGTTTTAGCCCCAAACACCCCCAGAGGGAGGAATTGTTTATTAGCCAGTCAAGTCTAGAAGATGACTGTAATATAACAAAGGGCTTATACAAAATATAACAATATAATGAACAGAGAAAAGAGCAGTGATTTCAGGGTAGGATACCCCAGGAGACCTTAGCAGGGAGACTGGCTGCCAGAGCTCTGCAAGGGGGGGAGACGAGAGCAATTTCATCCCATGGATGGATGGCCCTTCTCTGGGGATGAGCTCTCTGTTGAAGGCCCACAAGACACGCTGGTCCTCTCCGGGTTTTTGTTGTTTTATTTTGTTTACAACCAGTGGTGTAAAGCATTAACAAAGACCACCTGGCACTCATTTTGTCAGGAGCTGAAAGCGAGACAACTGGATATAGGAAAGGGAACATTTTTCTGAAAAAGTATCTCAGCTTAGTTTAAGCATAGCTTGGTTATATTTCTCATTTTCTCATCTATGTTCTTTATAAAAATGTATCTATCAGGGTTGTTAACAAATAAATGCTTTTCATTTCCCTTTACCTTATCATTAACCATTAAATGGATAGTTACATGGCTTCAAGGTAAATGGATAATGACAAGACATTCCTTACTTGGAGACTGGCAAATCTATTAATGAAAAACCCTGGGAAAACAAGTAGAATAGCTCCACATCACACTAGTATCTAAGTCCAAAGAGTAACATAGCAGGCTTTTATTTCAACTACGCAGACCATGATGGAGAACTGTCTTTCAATGGCTAACAGCAACCAAGAAGTATGGCCCTCTGGTATGCAGACAGATATTTGTTGAATCCTGGCAATCACAGAAGCTATATTACAGGTGCTTATTCTAAGGTAAACTAAAATTAAAAAAAAAAGAGAGAAAAAAGACATATTTATGGTCCTTTATACCTTTCTTTCCCCTCCCTCTCACACAGTGTTCAGTGTTCTTTTTGCCAAACATAAGATAAAACTTATTAAGCACACAAAAGTATTTTCTGCTGGCTGCAGTGTTGGAACTATCTTCAAGCATGTTTGATTCCAGCAATAATTCTGTAATCTAATCTTCAGCTTACAAAAGGGTGGGTAACTGCACCAATAACTACAACGGAGGGAGAATATTACACCCTTATCATCAGGTATCAATACAGAGTTCTAAGGCACAGCCATCATTTGGGCAATAATCTACAAACTAATTAACTAACTAGCAATAGCTGCCCTTCCTCAACCCAGGTAACTCAACAGTATCAGCTCTGCTAAGTCACCCACAGCTTTCCCCTTCCACCTCAACTATCCCCATGGTGCAGAGGGATAGTTGCAGCCAGCCAGCCAAGTGTCAAAACAACCATCAAACAGCTATTTTTCAGCCAGACAGGTTCCAGGGAGCCACAGCAGTGAAGGCCAGCAGTGCGGGGTCACAACAGTTCAGATCTCCTTCCCAGACCTCACCACAGTCTCCGATGCACATTGCATACAGGAGACCAACGCTGATACCCACCACGAAAGCCTCCCAAACAGCTTTGAGGAGTCCTCTGCAACACTGACTCCTCATAGCCAAGGAAAGTGTCACCAAGTTTCCCTAGTGTTTCTTCAAGCAGAAAAGGACAAACAAAGCCTATCAGAAAAGCAGCTCTGGAGTGCTGGCAGTGATGAAAGAGCAAGGTCACCATTCCCCCTACTTTCTACCCCTTGGCAAGGCAGGATTCACTGAGAACACAAAATTACTGGTCCCTAGCAATGCTATGTTCAGCACACATTGCTTTACAGTTCTGCCCAGGGCACTCACAGAAGTTAGAGGAGGCTTTCTCACCTTCACGTCCAGCCTTCGGAATCTATGCACAATCTTGATAGTGAATGCTCTGCTTTTTTAGTAAACACAGAACAGCTTCCACACTATAAGCATGTAAAGTCTCAAGTTCCTCTCATTTTCTCTAGTCTCTTCCTCACCTCCCACTGTGGTATGACTTCCCTATGGTGGTTCTTGCTGAGGAGGCCAGCAAACCCATGCTGATGTGCAGATCCAGCAGCTGGTGCTGGGACAATGGTATTTTGCCACTGTGTGCCCATCACTGCATCTCTTTATCCTTTGAAAGATTTTTTCCCCACCTTCCCTGCCTAACAGCCTATAACATGTAATACATCCTTTGTTAATCATTGTTAATTATGATTTTCTGTTTTTGATGTAAAACTTCTCTCAGATAATCTACATCAATTTTAATTCACTGTTGTATTTTCAGAAATAACTAAAAACCCTTACCTTAAATTTATCAACTTCTGCCTTCGAACACGTTGCATGATAAGATAACACCTGCCCCAGAACAAAAGATAAAAAAACATTTTTGTAGACTTGACAAGTAGAAATAATAGGGCTCTGTACTGCAGTCTAATCAACGACGTTTAAAACAAATTTAATTAATATTTATGCATGGTAATTAAGTTCTGAATGTCAGCATATAATAACTAATTGCAGGTTATCAGGTATACATTTGGCATTTATGTTGCAGGGAATTTTATAGGGAATAATGGACAGTAAGTAATTTAATATTATAGGCATTCCTACATTGTTCTCCTGGAGTTCTACAATTAAAAGAGAAAGAATTTAATGTAAAAATAAGAGTAGATTTATAGACTTTAAATAATGCCTTTTGCTATACTGTAAAGCTTTAATGCCTTTGCTAGTGGCACATCACTGTATGCAAATTAGCACCTCTATGCTATGCCTGACATTCTCTTCAATACCATGCTGGAGATGAAAGCGTGAAATATAACGCACAAGGTACTGCACACCTCCTCTTATTACCTATAAGTATGCATGCATTTACATGGAATGCATTATATCTTTATGCGGCGATACTAACATTGAATAAGTACTCCAGAAGGTGCGAGAGCCGTCCGGTGGACCGGACCCCACCAAGGTCTGACTGTGCATGGGATGAGGCGCTGGTCCATGAGGGAGCTCACAGAGCCAGAGCACTCCTAGCAAGGACAGGTCCTCCTCACCACACAGCAACACCTGATCTGCTTACGTGCTAAAGCTTTGATATATATTTCTCATTTTGAAATTGTTTTAATCTATGAATGTCTCTGTTACTCATACAAATACCTAAACTCTATCTCAAATGACCTTGGCTTGCAATACCTTGTGGCAATAAGTCCCAAGATGTATTTACTCATATCAATTTTAGAGGTGTCATCTTTTACAGTAACAGGAAATCATTCCTG